GCAGGATTGCTGTCTGCCAGTCAGAGATAGTTGGAAATGCAGGCATCTTCTTAAAGGACTAATGCACAAAATTTCACATGCATCCGTGCACCTTGGTCTTTGGCAGAGGGAGGGCAGAGTGGACTGAAGTTGTGTGAGCAGAAACCAGGGTTGGGAACTCTGGGGTTAGCCCTCAAAACAGACACCCAGGTTTCCTGTGCTGAGTTATTCCCTCGTGCTATGGAGGACCTCTTTTCTCTAGCTCACCTTTGCTATTTAGGAGGTTTTTGCCAGGGGGGAAGGCAGTTGCCCCACCCTACTGGAAAATCTCTATACCACTCGGTTCAATATCCTGAGGCTATCAATCAGACTGCAGACAGAGGTGGGTCTCTGGTAGCTTTGAGTCTTCATCTGATCTAATTCAGGACTTGGGGCTAGGAAAAGCAGACCCTGGTGAATATCTTGGTCCTTTCCAGCAGAGGGAGCCACAAGTTGTGGAGTGCTGATAGCTCCAAATAGGATATGCAGGACCAGTCAGAAACAACATCTGACACTGTCCTACACTAGAGATTGGGAGGCATAGCAAATCCACCTAATACACAGTCATAAAGTCAAATAGGCAGCCAAAATGGGGAGAAAAAAAAGAAAAAGCCTCATAGAATAAGAGAATTCTCCAGAAGAAGAGCTAAAAGAAATGGAGATATTTATCAGACACAGAGTTCAGAATAATGATGGAAAAGATGATCAATAGTATGAGAAAAGATATATTAACTCTGAAAAATGACACAGCACTAAAAAATAACACAGAGGAAGGAATACACAGCAGATTAGGTGAAGTAGAGGATTGGGTCAGTAAATTAGAAGACAAGGTAGAAAAAAAAATCACTCAATCACAGAACCCAAAAGAAAAAACAATTAAAAAAACAGGAGGACAGCTTAAGGGAGCCATGGGATAACATGAAACATAACAACATTCACATAATAGGAGAACCCTAAATATTCCACCAAAAAACTACTAGATTTAATGAACGAATTGGGCAATGTAGCAGGATACAAGATTAGCACCCAGAAATTGATGAAATTTTTACATACCAATAATGAATTCTCAGAAAGAGAAACTAAAAGAAACAATCCCATTTACTATAGCAACAGAAAAAGTAAGATATCTAGGAATAACCTTAACCAAGGAGGTTAAAGACGTACTCTGACAACTACCTGATGTTGAAAAAAAAAAAAAAAGAGGAAGATATGAACAAATAGAAGAATATATTGTGTTCATGGATTGGTAGAATTAACATATTAAAATGTCCATACTACCAAAGCATTCTATAGATTCAATGCAATCTCTATTAAATTACCAATGGAATATTTCACAGTTCTAGAATACTCCACAAATTTATATGGAACTAAAAAAGATCCTGATTAGCCACAGAAATCTTGAAAAAGAACATACCCTAGAACATACTCTGTGTCTGATAAATATCTCTAGAGTAGGACAGGTTTTGCTCTATCAGTGGATAGAGCATCAGCTTATGGATTAAAGGGTCCCAGGTTTGATTCTCATAAAGGGCACATGCCTGGGTTGTGGGCTTGGTTCCCAGTAGGGGGTGTGCAGGAGGCAGTCAATAAATGATTCTCTTTCATCACTGATGTTTCTCTTTCTCTTTCCCTCTCCCTTTCTCTCTGAAATAAATATATTTTAAAAAAATAACGAAATTGGAGGGATCACAATATCAGATATCAAGTTATACTACAAAGCCACTGTAATCAAAACAGCCTAGTACTGGCACAAGAACAGGCCTATAGATTTATGGAACGGAACAGAGATCCTAGAAATTGACCCAAGTCATTACATCAATTAATATTTGACAAAGAAGGCAAGAGCATACACTGGAGTCAAGAGAGTCTCTTCAATAAATGGTGCTGGGAACAATGGACAGATGCAAAAAAATAAAAGTAGACTACCAACTTTCATAATACTTTCATAAATAAACTCAAAATGGATAAAAAACTTAAATATAAAATGGAAAACCATAAAAATCCTAGAAGAAACCATAGGCAGCAAAATCTCAGACATCTCTCATAGCAATATGTTTGCGGATACATCTCCTATGGCAAGGGAATCAAAGGGAAAAAATAAACAAGTGGGACTACATAAAAATAAAAGTTTCTGCACAGCAAAATAAATTATCAACAAAATGAAAAAAACAAAAACAAAAACAGTCCATTGCATGGGAGAGCATATTTGCCAATGATTCATCTGATAAAGGGTTAATTTTCAAACTATATAAGGAACTCATATAACTTAACAAAAAGACAGCAAACAATCCAATTAAAAAACAAGCAAAGGACCTAAATAGACATTTCTACAAAGTGGACATACAGAAGGCCAGGAGACATATGAAAAAATGCTCAAAGTCATTAACCTGAGAGACGCAAATTAAAATGACAAGGAGGTATCACCTCACACTTGTCAGAATGGCTATCATCAGCAAATTAACGAAGGACAAATGTTGGTGAGGACGTGGAGAAAAGGGAGCCCTAACATACTGTTGGTGGGAATGCAGACTGGTGCAACCACTGCGGAAAACATATGGAGTTTCCCCCCTACCCCCAAAAAATTTAAAAAATAGAACTGCCATTTGACTCAGTGATCCCACTCCTAGGAATATATCTCAAGAATCCTCAAACACCAATCAGAAATAATATATGCACCCTTATGTTCATAGCAGCACAATTTACAATAGTTAAGATTTGGAAACAGCCCAAATGCCCATTAGCAGATGAGTGGATAAAAAAAGCTGTGATACATTTACACAATGGAATAGTATGCAGCTGTAAAAAAGAAAGAACTCTTATTTGCAACAGCATGGATAGACCTGGAGAGTATTATGATAAGTGAAATAAGCCAGTCAGAGAAAGAGAAGTATCACATGCTCTCACTCATATGTGGAATCTAATGAACAAAATAAACTGATGAACAAAATAGATCTAGAGACATAGATGCATGGAAAAGACTGTGGAGTTGTAGAGAGAAGGCAGGGGAGTATGGATGGGTGGGAGGCTATCAACCAAAGACCTTGTATGCACATAGGGTATGCATATGCACAGACAGTGAAGTGGTGAGAACCAGGAGCAGAAGATGGGGGTAGAGGGGGTCATTTGGGGAGAAAGAGGACATATATAATACTTTCAATAAAGATGTAAAAACAAACAAACAAAACACCCAAAAAAACAAATGAACAACAACAACAACAAAAAACTAAAAAAATAAATAAAAAATTCAAAAAGTATCCCAAATGTGAAACTTGGCCCAAATTTATTTAGTTATTGGAATTATTTATTTTTCAATTATAGCTTACATTCAATATTATTTTGTTTTAGTTTTAGACATATAGCATAGTGGTTATATAATCATAGTAGAAGCCTGGTGCATGAAATTCATGCATGGGTGAGGTGTCCCTCAGCCCAGCCTGCACCCTCTCTAATCTGGGACCCATCGAGGGATGTTCGACTGCCCTGTGGAATCGGGCCTAAATGGGCAGTTGGATATCCCTCTCACAATCCAGGACTGCTGGCTCCCAACCGCTTACCTGCCTGCCTGCCTGACTGCCCCTAAATGCTTCTGCCTGCCAGCCTGATCACCCCTAACCACTCCCTGCCATCCTGATTGGTGCCTAACTGCTCCCCTGCCAGCCTGATTGCCCCTAACTGCCCTCCCCTGCTGGCCTGGTCACCCTTAACTGCCCTTTCCTGCTGGCCTGGTCACCCCTAACTGCCCTCCCCTGAAGGCCTGGTTACCACTAAATGCCCTCCCTGGTTACCACTAAGTGACCACCCCTAACTTCCCTCCCCTTTAGGCCTGATCCCCCACAACTGCCCTCCCCTGCAGACCTGGTCACCCTTAACTGCCCTTCCCTGCCAGCCTGGGTCCTCCCCAACTGCTCTCCCGTGTTGGTCTGATTGCTCCCAACTGCTCTCCCCTGTTAGCCTGGTTCCCCCAACTGCCCTCCCTTCCTGGACTGATAGCCCACAACTGCCCACCCCTGCTGGCCAACTTGTGGTGGCCATCTTGTTGTTGGAGTGACAGTCAATTTGCATATTACATCTTTATTATATAGGATACTTTATAAGTGTTCCTTGAAATTTCCAGTACCCACCTGGCACTATACATAGTTATTGTAATGTTATTGACTATATTCCTTTTTTAACAAGAAATTAAGATTTCTACAGCAACATGCTAAATTTGAGAGGTAGGACTTACCTTTTAACATCAAATAAATAAGGCAGATAACTGACTAGGCTGTTAAATATGTCTGTTATTAGGTAATATCACACCATGGGAAAGTAAGCACAGCTCTCAGATTCCAGTTTGCATTTCTCAACCTGTGAGTTGTCACTACTACCTTTAACATCACACCATGGGGAATTTTTTTTAAAACACAATTTTCCTTCATGTATTATGAGTAACAAATAATGTTTAACAAATAGGAAGTATTTGGCTGAAAAACTGTGCAGCTTCAAAATTCTGATGAACAGTTTTGGTAAATGTACAACACAATTTAGAAACAAAAGGAACTTAGAATTAATGTTTTAAAAACTGTTCTAATTCCTTTTCTATTTCTAAGTGTTCGGCTTTTCTTTCTTTCACTTTCCATGTCTGTCCTCTATCTCTGTCCTCATCCTATTTTCTCTTTGTTTCTTTTATTCATTTTTTTAAATCGCCTGACTAATCTTCTCATTTATTTATTGAACTAAAAAAAATCATAACATGACAAAAGAGAATTAGTGAAATTTTACAGGCAACAGTAAACAGAAAATGTAGCAGAGATGGAGTAACTTAAACTAATTAATCTAATGGTTCTTTTCCTTCAAATAGTAATTCCTAATATCTATTGAAGAGTTAACTACTGCTAAGAATCTTGAATATGAACACCAACTTCCCTAAGGTAACTCCTATTGCATCAACCTAAGTAGCAGCTGAATTTTGATAGGATCTTATCAAAGTTCAAGTGACTGACCTGTTCCTGGGTCATCTTCTGCAGTTCATTCTCCCAAGTTGTCTGGTCATCGTCCAAGTTATAGGAAGCTGGTGGAGTGAGCCCATGAAGGATCAGGGGGTCTCGGTCATGGCAGAGGGCTGTCAGGTGTCCAATATACAATTTTAATTTGCTTCTATTTTGGTCAAGTTCTAAGAGAGGTTGGATGATCTAAGGTGAAAAAAAAAATGAGGAAAGTCAATATCAGTCTAAAACGAGCTTAAATATCTTTATGCCTCCCAAGTGAAAATAAAAACTGACCAAATCACTGCTGAAATCTTCAGGATCATAAAAAGAAACAGTTTCACACACCTGCACATTTACAGTATCACACTCAACCACCATTCTGGGAGATGGGTAGGGGATCTTGGCTTAGTGCATCAATACAAGACAAAGAGTTCCATACTTTGGCAGGGAATTAAGCACAGGACTGATTTGTTTTTACAGAGATGACATTGCTGATAAGGACTCTAGTTACCTCACATTTTTTTTTTCCATTTATTTATGAACAGGTTACAAAAAGCTGCTAGTGAAATTTGCTCATCTGAAAGCCTGGGCAACATACACTTTGTGTGTTCTTCCACCTCCTAGAATGGAGGAAAAATGTTGTCTCTGGAGAAGGTGCATGTTTTCCTTGGCCAAGAGATGTGATGAGTGAATTCATTACCAACCTGCCTCATCCTGGCTTAAGCTCCCTCATTCTTTTACAGAGGCTATCTGATATTCTTTTTAAACAATGATTGATAAATCTTTATATAACACCAAATACCTGACTCATGGCCAAAGACTCTGAAATTCTCTTAGTTGTAACATTGGTTCTATGTTTTTCTTGAACAGCAGTCCTCTCTTTCTCTTTTATATTCCCTTTGCCCTGGATGAGTAAGTATCCCTTTGACTCCCTTTGGAAGCCATTATATGACAGATGGCTTCTGCCCCAGAATTTCATTTAACAGCTCTCATGACAAATACTCTGGTCAGGTACTTAGTAGTTGGTTAAAGCCTGGGGAGTTTAGGAACAGTTGGGCCAGATCTCACATCTCAGAGCACTGAAATATTAAAGCAGCATCTGCTTGATACACAGCAGCTGTGAAAGCTGCAAAACGCAGCCAAAATGCTGGCAATTCTCAAAATGTTCCCAGGACTTAAAAGGCAGAGGTATGCACCTGCTGTATGTTACTGGGCTGGCATTCTTCATCAACAGGACACCTCTGACCCACCTAATGAATAAGGAGCTCAGAAATATTCAAGTCAATAGAAGCAAGGTCTGATATTACTTTCAACAGTGACACTGATTTCCTCTGGCCTCCTCAGAGGAGTGCTCCTACTGCTTTCCTTTCTAAGGGTTTGTAAATAATCCTACCTAATAAAAGAGCAATATGCAAATTAGCCATCACTCTGCTCAAGCCACACCCACCAGCCAATCAGAGTGAGTATGCAAATTTATCCCAACCAAGATGGCTGCAGCCATACAGAGCAGTTGAAAGGCTTAGGTTTCCCCAGCAATGGAAGCCAGGCTTTTCACCCGCCATAGCTGGCCTGGGCCTCCACTCAAAGATACAAAGCTTCAATTATAGAAGATAACTCCCAAAAAAATGGCAGCAGCCATGGAGCTGGAAAGAGCAGGCTAGGGTTGCCCCTGGCAATGGAGGAAGCCAAGCTTTCCACCTGCCCTAGGCCAGCCTAGGTCTCCACTCAAGGCTACAAAGTTTCAATTATAGAAGATACATAAAACCAAACAGAAATGGAGGCAGCCACGGAATGAGCAGAAGGTTTGGCTCCGCTCTAGGCTACAAAGTTTTAATTGTAGAAGTTAAATAAATTCCAGATATCAGGGCCTCTGTTTGGGTCGCCAGGGTGTGTGGCTGGCCTGCAAACAACCACAGACCCCTTGCCCAAGCCACCCCACACCCCAAGAGAACGCCCACCCTGATCCGGGACACCCTTCAGGACAAACCAGCTGGCCCCCACCCATGCATCAGGCTTCTATCTAATAAAAGAGTAATATGCAGACTGACCATCACTCTAACACACAAGATGGCTGCCCCCATGTAGTCAAAGATCCTGCCCCCATGTGGACACAAGATGGCCACCACAAGATGGCCAGCAAGGGAGGGCAGTTGGGAGGGACCAGGTCTGCAAGGGAGGGCAGTTAGGGGTGGCCAGGCTGGGAGAGGAGGGAAGTTGGGGGCAAACAGGCTGGCAGGGGAGCAGTTAGACATCAATCAGGCTGGCATGGAAGTGATTAGGGGGTGATCAGGCTGGCAGGCAGAAGCAGTTAGGGGCAATCAGGAAAACAGGCAGGCGAGCAGTTGGGATTCAGCAGTCCTGGATTGTGAGGGGTATGTCCAACTGCCCACCGGGATCGGGTCTAAACGGGCAGTTTAAACATCCCTTGAGAGGTCCCAGATTGGAGAGGATGCAGGCTGGACTGAGGTACACCCCCACTCCGTGCACAAATTTCGTGCACCGGGCCTCTAGTGTCATATAATTTTTATTATATAATCAATACCATTTTACTCTGAAAAATACTTAGAGAAACTGTAAAAGAAATAATAAAAGAGCCTTTAGGTATTTCATGAAGAATACAACCTGAATGACTTCTGGTCAAGATGGCGGTATAGATAAACATAATACTCACATCCCCCACAACCACATCAAAATTGCAACTAAACTACAGAACAACCATCATTCAGAATTACCTGAAATGTGAATGGAAGTCCTACAACTAGGGAATAAAGAAGAGGCCACATGGAGATTGGTAGGAGGTGGGGAGATATGGAATGTGCTGGTCTCACACCCATGTATGCTGGATAAAAACCAGGAAGGGTATCTGGGCTACAGAGGTCCCTGGAAGAGTGGACTACGCCAGGTCCCCCAACCCAGGGTTCCAGTGCCAGGAAGAAAAGTCCCCATTGCTTCTGGCTATGAAAATTGAAGCTTGCGGAAACAGAGGGCTGTTCTTAAAGGGACCACATATGGACTTAGACTCACTTCCTCTGAGCTCCAGCATTGGGGCAGCAGCTTGAAAGGCACCAGAGACATACAAGGAGGACCTGAAGTGTCTGGTATCAGGAGCTGGGGGTACGGTCTTTTTCCCAGAGAGAAGTGCTGGCAAAGGCATTGTTCCTTTGATGAGACCTCCCCTCACAGAGCCAGCAAATGGGGCACCATATCTGAGACTCAATCAACCTGGCCTATACTGTGTGCCCTGCCCTGGTGATTCCTTGAGGCCCTGCCCTACCTAGCTTTTTGGGCCCAACCAAGTTATTTCCATATGAATAGCCTATCTTAGCTCATCTTTCAGATTTTCCTGACATCTCTCAAACAAACTGCACCTGGCCTCAGTGTGTCCTGTAACTCTCACTAAGTGGTCTGAGGCCTGGCACTAGCAGTCTGCCTTGGTTCACAACTTGGCCTCGCCTTGGCACCTCCAAGTCAAGCATGAGCATCATCCATCTGTAGATCACTTTGTAGCTCATGTCAGATGGCCCTGAGCAGAACATAGGTGGCAAATGACCTTGGCCTGCACCTTCAGGAAGGCCCCAGAGTCAGCACACCCAGTGGACAGCTTCAGACCATGTTGAAGCACCACGCAAGCACCTCCACAAGCAACACACTCAAAAAGTGGACTCAGCAGGCACCAGAGCCCTGATGAAGTAAGTTCTGCTCTGTGGGGAGAACCCATGAAGAGCTGATCCTCTACCGTCGTCAGAAGTTGGTGGTTGGAGCCAGTCCTTGCAGCTGATTGGCCTGGGGGTAAATCCCTCTGACATGTCAGCAGCAATCAAGGCTCAACTATAAGAAGAGAGTGCACATAGCCCACACGGATGTGCACCTTGAGGACCCAGCTTGGGTGATCATGAAGGCTGTGCCAGTGGACCCTACAGAACACCTATTACATGAGGCCACTCTGACAAGCCTGGGAGACATAGCAGCTCCACCGAATACCTAAAAACAAACACAGGGAGGCTGCCAAATGAGGAGGCAAAGAATCATATCCCAAATGAAAAAACAGAACATTGTTCAAAACACTGGTTATAAGGATTCTCAATGAAGAGAACTTCAACAGCATAAAGAAGAGACATGGAGCCCTAACCGGTTTGGCTCAGTGGATAGAGCGTTAGCCTGTGGACTGAAGGGTCCCGGGTTTCATTCTGGTCAAGGGCATGTACCTTGGTTGTGGGCACATCCCCGGTGGGAGGTGTGTAGGAGGCAGCTGATCAGTGTTTCTCTCTCATCGATGTTTCTGACTCTCTATCCTTCTCCCTTTCTCTCTGTAAGAAATTAATAAAATATTTTTTTTTAAAAAAAGAAGAGACATGGAAATCATAAAAATGAAGTAGTCAGAAATGAAGAATACACTAACTGAAATGAAGAATAATTTACAGGGAATCAACAGTAGAGTAGATGAAGCTGAGAATCAAATCAGGGATTTGGAATATAAGAAAGCAAAAAACACCCCATCAGAACAGCAAAAAGAAGAATAAAAGAAATGAGAGTAGTGTAAGGAGACTCTAGTCAACTTCAAGTACACCAACATTTGCATCACAGGGGTACCAGAGGAGAAGAGAGGGAGCAAGAAATTGAAAGCCTATTTGAAAAATAAGGATAGAAACTTCCCTAACTTGGTGAAGGAAAGACATACAAGTCCAGAAACCCAGATAGTCCCAAACAAAATGGACCCAAAGAAGCCCATACCAAGATGCATCATAATTAGAATGCCAACAGGCTAAAAACAAAGAGAGAATTTTAAAAGCAGCAAAATAAAAGCAGTTTCCTAAAAGATAAGTTCCCATAAGACTGTGAACTGATTTCTTAACAGAAACTTTGCAGGCCAGAAGGAGTTGGCAAGAAATATTCAAAGTGATGAAAGACAAGGTCCTACAAAGCTAACCTTTACAATAGAAGGACAAATAAAGAGCTTCCCAGACAAGAAAAAGAAATTTATCTCCACCAAACCAGTATTATATGAAATGTTAAAAGATCCTCTTTAAGGAGAAAAAAAAATCAAAATATGAACCATAAAATTGCAATAAATACAAATCTAAAAATAAAATAAATGAATAAGCAGAACAAAAAGAATACCACCTGAAACATTTTAGTAATTTTCTTCCAAATTTTAAAATAACTTATATTAATCAATTTTAATAGTATCAAACTTCACATTTACT